ATATGTACCCGGTATACCCCGAAACACTTCCAGTGTCCGAATATCATCGTCCTATATATGAATCTTTACCTCTCGACCATTTCGAGACTCCTCGTCATGTCTGTGATCTCATCCAGGACTCCGAACGACATTCGGTCACCAAATCACATAACTCATATAATACAAAATCATCATCGAACGTTAAACATGCATACCCTACGGGTTCGAGAACTATGTAGACATGACCGAGACACCTCTCCGGTCGATAACCAATAGTGGAACCTGGATGCTCATATCGGTTCCCACATATTCTATAAAGATCTTTATCGGCCGTACCATAATAACAACATACGTTATTCCCTTTGTCATCGGTATGTTACTTGCTTGAGATTCGATCGTCGGTATCTTCATACCTAGTTCAATATCATCACCGGCAAGTCTCTTTACTTGTTCCGTAATACACCATCCTGTAACTAACTCATTAGTCACATTACTTGCAAGGCTTCTTATGATGTGCATTACCGAGAGAGCCCAATGATACCTCTCTAATATCCGGAGTGACAAATCCTAATCTCGATCTATGCCAACCCAACAAAAAACCTTTAGAGATACCTATAGAGCATCTTTATAATCACCCAGTTACGTTGTGAAGTTTGATAGCACATAAGGTATTCCTCCAGTATCCGGGAGTTGCATAATCTCATAGGCAAAGGAATATGTATATGACATGAATAAAGCAATAGCAATAAAACTTAACAATCAATATGCTAAGCTAACGGATGGGTCTTGTCCATCACATCATTCTCCTAATGATGTGATCTCGTTCATCAAATGACACACATGTCTATGGTTAGGAAACTTAACCATCTTTGATTAGCGAGCTAATCTAGTAGAGGCTCACTAGGGACACGGTGTTTTGTCTATGTATCCACACATGTATCAAGTTTCTGGATAATACAATTCTAGCATGAATAATAAACATTTATCATGATATAAGGAAATATAAAATAACAACTTTATTATTGCCTCTAGGGCATATTTCCTTCAGCTACCCCTACTGTCACTGGGTGAGGACACCGCAAGATTGAACCCATCACAAAGCACCTCTCCCATTGCAAGATAAATCATTCTAGTTGGCCAAACCAAATCAATAGATCGGAGAGAAATACAAAGCTATCTTAATCATGCATAAAAGAGTTCAGAGAAGAATCAAATAATATTCATAGATAATCTGATCATAAATCCACAATTCATCGGATCTCAACAAACGCACTGCAAAAGAAGAATAGATCTGATAGAACTCCAAGAACATCGAGGAGAACATTGTATTGAAGATCAAAGAGAGAGAGAGAGAGAGAGAGAGAGAGAGAAGCCATCTAGCTACTAGCTATGGACCCGTAGGTCTATGGTAAACTACTCACACATCATCGGAAGGGCAGCAAGATTGATGTAGAAGCCCTCCGTGATCGAATCCCCCTCCGGCAGAGTGCCGAAAAAGGCCCCAAGATGGGATCTCACTAGAACATAAGCTTGCGGCGTCAGAAAAGTATTTGTGGTGTGCCCTCTAGTATACGGGGAATATTTGGGTATTTGTGGAGCTAAGATTAGGGTTAGAGGTGCCACGCTAGGCCCACAAGCTCATAGGGCACGCCTGGTGAGCTTATGGCCCAACTGTGGCTCTTCTAGCCTCCTCAAAGCTTCCTGGGTGTCTTCTGGTCCAAGAAAAATCGTCAAAAAGTTTTGTTCCGTTTAATATTGATTTTCTGTAGAAGTCAAAAATAAGGAAAAAACAGCAACTGACACTGGGCACTAGGTTAATAGGTTAGTCCCAAAAATGATTTAAAATAGCATAATAATGCATATAAACATCCAAGATGTATAATATAATAGCATGGAACAATAAAAATTATAGATACATTGGAGACGTATTAGCGTCCGGGCCGGTGACGATGTCCCTGGCGGTGAGGACATGAGAGAAGACTGTTGTGTCGGTGCTGGCGGCGCGGAGGCTAGGAACGACAGCGGAGCGTGCATGGCGGCGGAGCAGCGAGACGGATGTCGCGAAGGAGGAAGAAGATAGGAGAGAGCAAATGGATCCGATATGTCAAGGAGGTGGATTTGGTGCATTTTGAGGTGGGATCTAGCTATCGGGTCCTACGTGGCACATGCGCTCGGGCGCTCCATATCCGCCCTATATTCGTACTGGATATGAGGGTTGTCGGTCAGCCTGGACGTTTAAGGCCCGTTTGAGGCGCCCATCTGGGTCGATTTTTCATGACCGGTCAATGACCGGGCCGTCCGCTTGGGCGTTTGAGGCGGGTTATCTACTGACCGTTCACAAAAAATCGATCCAGATGGGCGTCTCAAACGAGCCTCAAACGTCCGGGTGAACCGACACCCCTCGTATCCAGCCCAAATATGGGGTGAATATGAGGGCGCCTGGGCGCGTCCGCCATGTTGGACCTGGCCCATTGGCCCACCCGACTCCACATATATTCCTTCCCATCCGCTCACCAGGCCAAACCCTAGTCACTTCACTCCACTCCTTCCTCCCCCCGCCACCCAAGCTCCCGTCCGGTGAGTTCCGGACTTCTTTGACATGATGGGTAGCGGATCTAAGTCCTTCACCTCCAGATCCATCGACCCCGAGGTCATCCCACACAACCCTAAGGAGGAGATGGTCGTCCAGCTTGCGCTCCATCGCTCCCTGGAGGAGGCCCGTGCAATGTAGCACTCGGACTCCTTTCGTCGGGAATCCAGTGTGTCCGCCCAAATGGAGTATGGATCTGGCGTTAGGTGTGTCGTTGCTGCCTCACCGAAGATGATGCAGTCCATATAGCGTCCGAACACGACGGTGAACGCGCAACCCCTTCATTGGAGCACCGAGGCCAGTGACGCACCATGGGCGTCGTCCGACGCAAACATGGTGCGGCGTACCCGTCGTGCGAGGCAGCGGGTGCGGGAGGCGACGGTGACGGAGTCGCATTCTCCGGCACCCTGTATGGTGCAGAAGTCCGGGCGACCGCGTCGCGGTGGATGTCGCCGGCTCGTCCCAAGAAGGATCCATCATCGATCTGACGTCCACCGACATTGTTCGGGTTTCGGGCTCCGATGAGCAAGAGTAGGGCATGGGAGATGGCGGCGCCTTGAGTCTCGTGAGCCGACTTGTGTCCCACACCCTACTCTACCTTTGTCGGCGATCAGACCAACACTCTAGGGAACGCAGTCGGCCGCCGGACATGGGCACGGCGGAACCAGACGAGCTCCGTTTAAAGATATGTTTTATGTTGCTTGTAATAATATGGATTTGAGGTTTCTAATTTAAAATATCCAGTTGTAGAATCAAATATTTAAGACATGGTCAGTCATTATCTGCTGACGCGTATAAGCGCGTTCACGAGCGTTTAAGAGGTCGAATTTGCAAGTCCAGGTGTAGACGCTCTAACCCGCACCCGAACACAGCGGGTGGCACGGTGAGAATTTTTTTTAGGACGTGTCTACCGAGCGGCTGGGCGCTCGATAGGAATCCGTGGCGGCCTCTCCATTTTTAGTATGTTTTTGTCTTAATCAAACAAATTAGGAATTATTTTGTCCTCCTAGCCAGAAAAAGACAAAGACTACACGACATGTTTAACCAGAATTGCAAAAGCACACACACGAACATGTGTGAACGCATTTAATTCAGATTTAAATTTTTTAGAAAAGCCATAACTTTTGAACGAAAAGTCGAAATTAAGATCCGCTTTCACTGCTGAAATCCTTGCGATGTGCTCTTCGAAACTAGATCCCACATGGATATGTTTTGATAAACTTTTTTTTGTGCAATTTTGTCCCCGTTTTGTGCAACTGGCTAGTTGTTGATGTGCAACTACCTAATAGTCGATGTGCAACTTTTTCTTTATCCATGGATGTGCAGTTTTCAATGATGACACCTCACCTCAAACTACCCACTATCAAGTGAGATGTGCAACTATGTCTGCTGTCCCCAGCCAACCACTTAGTAGTCGATGTGCAACTTTTCTCCTCTAGTTGGAAGTGCAATTTTTACTGTTTGCTACCTCGGCCAACTGCCAAGCAGTGGATGTGCAACTTCGAAAACTGTCCTCCCAGCCAACTACCTAACGGTTGATGTGCGTGTGTAACTTTCCTCATATCCGTGGATGTGTAGTTTTCATTGCTAGCACCCCTTTCCATCCAACCCAGCTAGTGAGATGTGCATCTTGAGGGTCTCACCTGTAAACATTAATGTGTGTGTAACTAGACTACATTACCACGCCAACTGAGTATATGTGTGTAACTAGTCCCGCCAACTAAACATCAAAGTGTGTGCAACGAGACTACATTGCAGGCCAACTAAGCATATGTGCGTGTGCAACTAGTCCCGCCAACTAAACATCAAAGTGTGTGCAACAAGACTACATTGCAGGCCAACTAAGCATATGTGCGTGTGCAACTAGTCCCGCCAACTAAACATCAAAGTGTGTGCAAATAGACTACATTGCAGGCCAACTAAGCATATGTGTGTGTGCACTAGTCCTGCCAAC